AATAGAGTCATTCATCTTTAATCAATAGTCATTCATCTTTAATCAATAGAGTCATTCATCTTTAATTAATAGCGTCATTCATCTTTAATTAATAGCGTCATTCATCAACTTTTATTTTCTTATTCTGAATATCTTATCAATTCTTCTTGCTACTGAGAGTGGAATATTACATGCAAAATTAGTTGTAATTAGTCATGAATTTTTGAAAAATAAAAGTAAAGTGAACAATATAAAATAAATGATGGGTGTCACCAGGATTTTCTTAGTAGGAATATCGTTTCTGTTCATGTTGCATCTTTATAAAATCAATATATATGTACATACACGTAACATTGCACGTGTTAAGACGAGAATCCGATAATGAACAAGTTATGGTGAAATGAATATACATGCGAATTTTAAAAATAAATTGGATGCTGTGTACTCATTACTTAATTAAAGTTTATGTGTACTTTACATTTATACGTATCAAAATGCCCTTTTAATAACTATTTTCACCTTATTATACAACATAAGTTAAGTATACTGTTATTTGGATCCTTTCGCAGTTTAATCAAGCACCGTATCCTATTGGCTACAAGTATGTAGGTGTGGACAAACAGACACAGCCTTCTGAAGCATATGTTGTTGCCTTAGCATAAATGAAGATATGAAGGGTTTATCCTGGTCAATACGTGGTTTTACTGTATGTCGTTTATCTAGCCAGTACGATACAAAACCATGTGGTACTTGCTCACTCATATTGTACTGAGAAACCGGACCAATGGCTGTTAATAGACCTGAACATGTTATGTTTGTACTGAGGTTATTGGTTTCGCTGTTAACCTGCACCTAAATATTCAAACTCGTGAAATTTATGTTTATTTAGGACCTAAAAAGATGGTTCGCTCGCATCTTCCTCCCTCTTTGGCGATCCCCTGTTAACAGATATTATATGCCAAATAGGCAGGATATATGATAATAGATTTGAACATCAAGAGATAGTTGTACATCTCTGACTAATGGAATCTTAAATTTGATATAGTTACATATACTTAGTGTTTTTGTTTCATTTTCTCAACTCTTTCGACACTGTAACTCTGAACTAATGGATTTTTTTTCCATTTTGTAGGACCTGGAAAGAATGATAGAACGTATAGCTAATTTCCTAGATCGGCCGTTACACCCAGAAGCCATAAAAAATATTGCCCACCATTGTAGTTTCGACCAAATGAAAAATAATAACATGGTAAATCGTGAACAACTTCCTGTCACAGATTTTTTCAACATGTCACACACAAAATTCATGAGAAAAGGTAAAGCAGGCCTTGGTATTGTAATACTTTAAGATTAGTTTTATCACTGTAATGATAATTTTGTAGAATTGTCATAATAAAAGCTACTGTAACTTTAGAGCCACCATTAATGTGAAGTTATAAATATCAAGATTTATTACTACTATATAATTAACACTTGTATTATGACTTTTAATACTCCGTTATTAGGTTCTGCTATTAAACTTGATTTTCTTTAATATATTATACTTAAAGTCTGATTTCACGATGTGTTAAAACTTTGGAATAAATTTCTGTCGTGAGTTTGGAGATTTCAACCCATTGTTAAGGAAATGTTTGTGCCCTTATTGCATTTCTTGAATTGTTGAATGTGGTTTTGAATTACGTATTCAATATTAATATTAGTATGAGGTTTGATTATCGACAAAAAATATCTTGCTCTGCACTTTGGAGCCTTGAGCGCATTATAAGAGTGACGGTCAAATCCCACTATACGATTTGAGTAACTTTGAGCTGGCGGTAAGTGATTATAAGCTCTCTTCACTATAGGCCAGTGTTTCTCAAACGGTGGGTCGCGACCAGGGTTTCCGGGGGGGGGGGGCAAGAGCTGTTTGCTTTGAATCAACATATTTTTAGAATCCTCGAGGTGCACATATTATCTTTGTTATGACGAACTGTTTTTCATCCTTGTAGAGATAATCGGGGATCATCTAGCAAATCCGGCTGAGAAAAACTGCTCTAGTCTGTCACTTTGAAATTAGGGGCGGCTAATGCAAATAGCCCTCGAGTAGCTTTGATCGAAGTTTAGCAAACAAACAAATAATAAATTAACATAAGTATTCGTGATTTGAGTACAATGACTACTAACTCCTAAGAACAAGTTTGTATTTTATTCCTCTGGTCATTTCATTTTTACAACTTCTTCAAAAACGACTTTCTACATTACGGTAAACTCACAGTCAAATTAAAAGATCGCATCTGAAGGAGTTGTAAAAATAAAATTCTCAATAAATGGTTTTTCTTTCTTTTTTTCTCTTATCTAATAAGTATTTAACGAAGTTTAATTTTGTTAAAAAATCCAATCTACATTTCAACAAAATAATAATGCGTGGAGTATAATTTCTATTATGAAACAATAAGTTTTATTCATAAGCTTCTTGCCTTAAACTGTGTACACCAATGTATTATTCTAACGTTGTTTTATAATTTCCTTCTGATTTTTATGCACTATGATAATATAATTATATAAATCAAAAATATTATAAATATTCCTCATTATTATTATCAATATTGTTGTTGTTTCCCCCATTAGGAATTATTGGTGACTGGAAGAATTATTTCACTCCCGAACAAAACGAAACATTTGAAAAAGTGTGTAAAGAGAAGATGGCTGGTTCAGGCTTACACTTGGTATTCGAACCAAGTGATGCCTATAAACGAATGCAGGCGCACGGCCGGATAATTGATTCCCCAAATAGAAGCTGTGAGGAACTAGATTCAGTTTCAGATCATAATTATAATGAACTAGAAAGTGAAACCAAGTTATCCGATACTGCTACTTCGTGTGCCACACATATTTACGCGCAACTTCCGAACAAAGATTTTCCTGAGACTGAGCGAAATACAAAACGCAGCGATGTTTTAGCAGTCAATGGAAACGAATATCTTGAGAATCTGGAATTTGCAGAAAACATGAACTTATACGAAAGTATTAGAGAAACTTCAAATACTGGTTTTTCCGAAAGTGTTTTTGTAAGCAAATTCTCTAAATCACAAGAACCTAAAGAACACAATGGTCAGTGCACCAATGATATCATTGATTATACAGATAATTCAATATATGGGCAGATTTAAGAAATTGGTATTGCTGTGGAGGAAATAATTACTGTTTATGTTTCACATCGTTCAGAGTACGAAAAACATATAACCTCGTATCGCCAAACAGCTGGTAAACTAAATATCATTGTTTATAAATATATATAACAAAATGTACAAAATCTTCCACGTTGTTTTAAACAAAATAACTTATATATAGAGAGGTAGCACGAAAAATTATATCACATTAGAGACAACATAATACATCACAGTACACTGATACTCTAGGTCTATTTTGTAATGGTTACTACTGAGCGTAGTATTAGCATTTCAATCAATTTACTGACCAAGATAGTTATTTAGTTTCCGAATGTATTTATTTCAAAATACGTTTTAAAAACAATGAATGAAACGTAGCTATTTAGTATATTGCATTTTATTTTTAAAATGTAGATGATGGAATACAATTCATCAAAGATTGAACTGTCTGTATTTGCTACATTGATAAAGATTTTTAGTTATTATTCAAAATTAAACATGCACGTGTAAACCCATCCTTTCTGTCGAGGGTTACGATCATTCTTAAATGAATAACGTTTTGTAAAATACCTCTGTATAAGAATAAAATATTTTATATCAATTAAAAAGCGTTATTATATGAATGTGCATCTAAACTTTAGCAAGATCATCTGAACAAAAAATAAATCATTGTTATAAACAGATGTTTAAAGTAAGATCGCGGAAATAACTCGGAGATGATTTTGTTGTATACAATGCAGTGATAGATTAGATTTCTTAGATCCTGTGCACATTTTTCTTCCTTTCGTATAAATTAGGTAGTGCGATATAAACAGCCTTTAAATCTTAGAACTGGCCCTGGTGGTTAGGGCGCTCGACTCGAAATCTGCGGGTTCGAATTCCAGTCACCAAACATGCTTGCCCTTTTAGCTGTACGGGCGTTATTAAGTGACGGTCAATCTCACTATTTGTTGGCGATGGATGGTGTTGACTAGCCGTCTTTCTTCTAGTCTATCACTGCTAAATTAGAGTCGGTTAGCTCAAATAACTTTGCAAGAGATTCAAAACAAACCAAATATCAGAACATATCCGTATATTATTAGTAGTAGTGAAATACCTACATTTTTCTCAGCAGAAAACACATAAGCATTAACTGTGAGTATTTGTTTGAAGTTAAGCACAATGCTACTAAATGGACTATCTATGTTCTGTCCACCACGGGTATCGAAACTCGGTTTCTAGCGTTGTAAGTCCACAGACATACCGCTGTTCCACTGGGGGTCAAAACATGAGTAAATGACGTTTGTTTTGTTAACTTAACCGTTCTGATTGTGATAAATATATATACCTTCTTCTCGATTGTCTTTGTGTTTTCGATAGTCTGAAACCACCTCTTAGCTGGGAACCCTGTGCAAATTCACTGAGTTAACAATGACTAATCCTAGCCCGACACATCTGTCTCATAGCATAACTAAAACTCGAAGTTCAAACGCTTCACAGCATCTCAAACAAATCACTAGATCTGAAACTAGTAACCCGTTACAAAAAATTTTCTAAACAATCTGTTTTCGTGCAATATGAATAGCGCCTTTTTTTTCATTTTGATTTTAAAATTTGGTTTCTAAACATGGTTTTTATACAAAGTACGACTTCCGATCTACAGCTAACCACTTGGCCTCTCAAAAATAGGGCTGTTTCTTCTGTGATTTACTACTATGAGTGCTAACATAGAGAATACATAAACGAGGAAAAAATAAATCGCCCTATTAAAACAATTATTGAACAATATTTGCTTGAAATGTCAGTATTTTAAAGAGAATTTGCTTGAAATGTCGTTCTATAAAAGTTACTTAAATTAGATGGTCTTTTTGCATATTCATTCTATAGTTTTTATCACCTTCGTGTATCTTCTTCAGATCTTGCAAACAACTGAATGCTACCATAATCTGCTCACATGAGTGCTGCTGATGTTAGTGCCATTGATAACAAATGTGTGAATTTTGCATGGTTTATTGGCATGAACATCTGCACTTTTATTAATATGAATTCAACAAGACTCACTAATGTGATAATCTATTACACTTATTAGAATGAACTTGACTCTGATTTACTAATTATGAATTGCACAATATTTGCTAGTTTTGGCCACAGTGAGATTCAGTATCATGAACACTACCATGCTTTTTTAGTAATGTAAATATTATACAGTTTTCAAATGTGACACAAGTTTGATTTACTGGTACAAGAGCATTCATTGTTAGATAGTATAAATATTTTTATGACTTACTAATAAAATACTACTGTTTATCAATCATATGTGAGCATTTTTAATTTGTTAGTATAAGAACTATTATGGTTTTCTTACTTAAATGTTGTTGCAATATATTGTTATGCAGACTACAGAGGGGTTTTCATAATCACTGGTAATGAACGAGTGTCTTATATCCACTTCTTCCACCATTACTGGTGTTCTAGTTCGCCCTCATTATGTTATACTGTATAGTTTTTACTTCAGGAATCTTTTATGCAACAACTGAGGTCAGTGTTATTCCACTTTCTATTATCTCCTTACCAAGGACCATCAATAATATACTGTCAATGATTTAATGGCCCATTTAAACAAGCCAAAGGTGCTGAAGTCTGTGGAAAATGTATCTGGTAATTTAATTGGTATATCTACAAATAGTATAACATGAACTCCACGGATACTTACATCTTGTGGAAAACTGAAATGTGGCTGAGTAGGAAACAGAGTTCCCCTTGGTATTATTCTTGATTCTCCAGATGTGTAATTTAATATTATAGCTGTAAACTACAACCACCATAGAAATTCCTTGGGAAAACTTCTGAAGCATGCTCTGTATCACATTTGAAATCTTGTATCACCAGCAAGATGATGATGATAAATCATTGAAGTAGGCATATCCTTCTTCCAATGAATGACATACTTCCATTTGTCACATGCTACATCCTGCTCCTACAGTTTTAGACAGTTGGTCTTCTTTTTGAATAGGTGCTTCAGGAGAAGCTTGTGAACAAGGCTTTTGTGTCACTTTTATAGACCTAAATTTATGGAAATTGTCTTATTAACAGTTTCAATGGAAGCTTCAACTTTAACTGAAATGGACCACTGTGTTCTTGAATTACTCTGGTGACAAAATGTGTAAATTTCTTCTTTACCACTGATGTATAGCTGGACACCAGTTATTGGATAGTCTGATTTTTCCTTGCTAAAATCAAGCCTTCCTAAGTTTTTCAATATGGTTCAACACTAAAGATATTAGTTTTCTTTGAAATGCTATAAATTCATGCCTGTTTTTATAATCACAGAATATGTGACATTTTCCAGGAAGGAATCAATATCAGGTACTATTTGTACCTAAAAATCACCACACACATACACACTTTAAATGAATTTCAGAAAGCACATCAGGGCTTTTAAGTTACAAGGATGGCAAACGGCAAGATAAGCAGATATGAAAATTGTTACCATAGATCATGAACAGCCCTCCATATAATAGCTTCTAGTATGTAGTACCTCATATATTTTATACATTAAAATTTGAATAGTTTATCATAGCTTTAGGAGTAAATATAGTTCCAGTGTAAACATTTTTATTTTTGTAGCAATCTGTAAAGTCAGAAGCTAACTAATAACATTATATACATCAAACATGTAGATTAAATGTTTGTAGCAGTATATTTTATATATAATATAATTAAAACAATAAATACAATATAAAACATCATACATTTTTAAGTTTTTAATAAAAAAATTGAACCATCAACACATAAATGAACTAGAAAATACAGCTAATATATATGTGCTTAATGAGAAGGCCCGGCATGGCCAGGTGGTTAGGGCGATCTAAGGATCGCAGGTTCAAATCCTATCAGCCATGGGGGTGTTATAATGTGGTGGTCAATCTCACAATTCTTTGGTAAAAGAGTAGCCCAAGAGTTGGTGTTGAATGGTGATAACTAGCTGCTTTCCCTCTAGTCTTACACTGCTAAATTAGGAACGGCTAGTGCAGATAGCCCTTGTGTAGCTTTGCGCAAAATTCAAAACAAACATAATGAAAATGAGCTATTTCTATATAATACTTAACAAGTTTGGTTTGTTTCTGAAAACAGCATATTACATATATTAAACAAAATCACTACTAAATGAGGTTAGTTCAATTGTTAATTAATTATTTATCAAATTTCACAATTTATCAAATTTTAATCTTACAATATTTTTTCAATCTCTAATAAAAGAATTGCTTCTAGGTTTTAGTCTGTCATCATAACAGATCTGTTCCAACAAATTTGCCTTTAGGTTTTCGTGTATAAATCAGTTGTATATATGTTACAATGCACAAGTTTAAAAACTGTGTTTAACATACACATTTCCTCAAATAACATCAACCTTTCTAAAGCTAGATGGGTTATATACGAATTTTACCTTTCAAAAATTTACTCATTTACACAAAACTACTGGTTGGGAAAAGATTTAGTTTTGTCCCTCCAACATGTACTGAAACTTAATTACACTAGTAAATATGGATTTCATCCATAACTTTCTTTTACTTTTGTCTTCCATCAGATTCAGATAAAGTTCAAGCTTTGGATAATATTGTGATAATTACTTTTAGGTACAATAAACCATATAATCTTAGCATATGGCATGAAGTATATAATATGTTAAATTCTGATGCAAGCCTGAAAGTTAACATTTTCCTACACTGAAAATGTATTTCTGATAGATTCTTACCTCCTCTCACAAAATAGCATTTCCCAACATGTATTGCCCTCTATATGCACACATTTTTGTTTGCCATTAGCCTTGATACCCTCACGTGAGGCAGTTGTGAGGCAACAAACCTTCACCAACAGAAGCATAATACAATTCCCAGCACAGCTGACTCCCTCTATACAGCTTAGTCCAAATACACTTTGAAATTGTGCAACAGAAATGGAAAAGACACCAGAAGTGGGGGAAAAAAGGTAAGAGGAGGTAAGAATATATCAGAAATTTATTTTCAGTGTAGGGAAATGTTAACTTCCGATATGATATCTTACCTATTCTCACAGAATAGCTAGAATCCCACACTGACCTGGTGGAAGAACTGGTGTAAAATTACCCTTCAAAAAGCACCCATGGTGTGTGTGACTAAAGAGTATGTAAGACACAACCATGGGAGAGCACACCACTTCTGAGCCAGGTATACTCTTCACCAGTGAAAATGAAGTCTCGCATTAAGTGTGGAATCATAGGAGGAACCCCAAAAATTAAATGAAGGGACCCCTGGTGTAGAGTGGCTAGGGCGAGGCAGACAGTAAGGGGAGTTCAACCTCAACTAATACTAACAGTACTGTGATAGGAATATCTGGTCCATGGTAAGAAGAGGGTCCTCTACCATTCACTTCAGATATGGGAACTGGAAGGGAAGATCTTCCATTCCAAGGACCCACATTATCATGGGTGCATGTCCAACACAACCAACACCAGTACTCTTTGGGAACGAACATTCGAACGATGATAGGAAGGACGACAGCATTATGACAGTTCAACTCCAACAAATGGGAATGGTAATAACAGAAGATAACAGGGAGGGAAATGGGAGTGAAGATAAAATCACCCTCAGTGCAACCAATGTTTTGGGCAGAAAAGACCGATTCAGGTAGAGGATGACATAGGTCCTGTGATAGAACATGCAAGAGACATCAAGTATGAAAAAATCTGAACATCAACATCCACATGCCAAGAAGAGGTAAAAGGTTGTTAAGGAGAGATGATATATGGAACAGGATGACATGGGCTCAAAGCGAGAAAATGAAAGGATGTCACTGAGGTTCCAATCAGGGAGGGCAGTAGGATGTGGAGGATGGTGAAGGTGGAAGGAATGAAACAATAGGGTGAGAACCAAAGAAGTGAAAACACAGCAAAATCTTGTGAAACAGAAAGTAGTTGACAAGGCTGTGTAATAACCACCAATGATGGATACTGAAAACTCCTTGTCAAAAAGCCAGAAAAAAGATGGAAATCAGGTGTAGCAGAGTAGCATGGGATGGAGAAAAATCATGATGAGAAGACTTATGGCAGTAGACATACTATTGACATTGGTAAATTGACTTGGAGGAAGGACAAATGGAATGGGAAATCAAGGAAACAAAATGCAAGTGTATCCCATCTGGCAAGGGACCAGACAAAACCACTCATGAAGACACTCATGTTGGAATGGTGGATGTAGCAAGCCATTTTGAGGTTGTCTGATGAGGGTGAATGAGAGGGGAAGAGGTAGGGGAGATGTCAATAGGAGCAGGCACAGAAGTGGAAACCATGGCTGTGCTGGCCAAAGTGGTGCCACCAAGAGGACATGACAAAGAATGGTTTGGATGATGGAGAGGAAATGAGAAATAAGATGGATGGAAAGGATAGGCAAATAGATAAAGTTCTCCCCAGTCCTGACTGATGGCACTGACAGCTACAGCCAAAGGATGTGAAATTGGAAACCAAAACCTGGGAAGCTTGGAATTCAGGTGGGTGGCAAATGCTTCTAATTTTGGAGTACCTTATTGGCAACACAGCCAGACAAACATCTGTTGGTCATGGGACCACTTTGTGGGAAGAATCTTGTTTGAGCATGATAAACGACCTACAACAAGATTCAGGGCATCCAGTATATGATGATGAATGTGATGGATATAGGCCCAAAACATGAGGTCCAACATGTGGAAACAAAGAGATCTCCACTGAGTGCTCCCTTGCCAAGTGATGTATAAGACAACAAATCATAACCAACTAGTTCTGAAAAGATGGAAGGAAGTGAATCAAAACCCAATGGACAGTGAGCAGTTCCAAGTGATTGATATGCACTGACGACTCATTGATAGACCAACAACCTAAAATCTCATGCATGTCCAGATATGCACCCTAACCCAAAAGAAAATCACCCGTGAAGAAATGCACCTCTGGACAAGGAGGAAGAAGAGGAACACCCACTGTGGTGTTGTCTCTGCCCAACCACCAAGTAAAGTCCACATGAAGGGAAGGAGGGAGATGGATAGGGGCATTCAAAGGTTCCTGAATAAGGTTCCACTGAACTTGTAAAGCCTACTGAGGAGGTCACATGTGGACTTGACTGAAGGAAATTAGGGCCTCCAAAGAAGCCCATATCCCCAAAAAGAGATAAAACCTCTCTTGCAGTTGGAGAAGGAGAGGAGGAAATGGTGTAAACCAGAAGTTCCATAGATAGTAGGCAAAGAGGAGAATAGTGAGACAGGAATTGAAAAATCCCGAGAAGAACAAGGTATTGAGTGAGGGAGAGAAAGGACTTCTCCACTTTGACTAGGTAACTTAAATGTGCAATCTCTTGAAGAAGAAACAGAGTATGAAGGGAAGAGGTGGCATGCAAAGAAGCTGGAAGCAGTCAGTCATCCATATAATGGTGGAAATGAAGGCACATGAAATAGAGAAAACAGGCAAAAGCCTGGACATACTTCAAAAAATATAGGGAGTCAAAGCTAGCCTGAATGGAAGATCCCAGAACTGGTAGATGCAACCACAATGGACAAAATGAAGAAAATACTGCGGGGATGGGAAAGTGGAGGTAACCATCTGAGATATCAAAGACCAGGAGTGAAAACTCTTTGAAAAGATAGGCAGGATCCCATGGTGCATCGAGGAAGGTCTGCAAAGTGGTTCAAAGAAGAGAGATCAATGAGAGGGCACCAGTCCCCAGTATTCTTGGGGACCACAAACAAACAGGAATAGAAATCTGGCTGAGAAGGATCTTCCTGTTCTATAGCACCCTTGTGAAGAAGATCTAGAACTGCCTTGCAAAGATTCTGGGTGGAAATGGTATCCCAAGGAGGGGTGGAAAGATATGGGATGAGGGGAACTGAAACAAATAACGAGCTCTTCGGAAAGAACCTGCAGAACCCAAGGGACTATGGTGAATGACTTCCAAATGATACAACATTGCAAAAGCCTGGCCCCCACCTAACCTGTTCCCACCACATAATCACAGGGGTGCCAAAGCCATTGATGAACAAACCAGCAGTTAACCTCGGAGACCCATGTCACAGCACTGGGGGGGGGACAAGAAATTGGCCGAAAGGTGTCTCACTTAATAGGGAAGGAAAAATGGAAATGGGGGTCAAAGACAAACATAACAAACCTCAATTATTAACTCCAGGAAAAGATAGACCTGGGTGCTTCCACTAAAGCTAAACGTGACTGTGTGGCATAAGAAAGGGGAGGAAACAAGCTGTTAAAATCTTCCTTTTCTTACTCAGGTATCCCTGATTATCAGAGGATAATCCTCAGGCAAATCAGGAGCCCACAAGTTGGGTAGAGCTATTCTTTGAGGGAAGGTAAGATATTGTATTGGAAGCTGATTTTCTTATTATAACATGAAAATTAAAAAGGACAGCATAAAATGTGCATACCAATTGACAAAGGAATATATTGAAAGATTTAACTAAAACATATTCTTCATAGAACACCTTACTATTAAAACTATAAAAAATTACATTAACTATAAGTGAACAACATGTGCCATTTAATGAACAACTTCCTATAATTAAAGAAATGTGACATACAATGAATTCAATTTATAATCCTTTAGAAAAGTAAATTATCATTTAATTTAAATTATAAAGTATCATGAGCATGATGGATCCAAGTGTAGTTCCCATTAATATTTGTCATTCTTATCATTACTAACTGTAAGAAAAGTTTAAATTTAAGTAACAATAAGAACTTTAACAGTGTAAGTATATAAACCAATACATCATATGTCAACATTAATTAAAAATTCTATGACTGAATCATATTAACAATAAAAAAATCTCTCATACATCCTAGTAATAAGTATGCTTTCACTGATGGGACATATGGTTGTCCATGGGGACAATTTCCACTAATTCAAATTCAAACGTATAATGTAACCAAGTGCAGTACAGAGAACTATCCATTCAATGTATTATAATACTACACACAACATACTTAAAAACATCTTATTGAATGTTACATTATGGACACCCATACTTATAAATCAGACTTCATCAAGGACACTAATTCAAATTCAAACGTATAATGTAACCAAGTGCAGTACAGAGAACTATCCATTCAATGTATTATAATACTACACACAACATACTTAAAAACATCTTATTGAATGTTACATTAAGGACACCCATACTTATAAATCATACTTCATCAAGGACACGTGTCCAAGATGTCCAAAACAAAATCACTAAGTGACATTCATTATTGTGCATGATTACACACAATAATGTAATATGAACATTCATCCAAATGATACTTTATACAAATCATATTTTCAAATCTCCACAAAAAATAAATAACTATTAATGTAACATTACAATGAAGGTTCTATGCTTAAACCTTGTTAAAATACAGATAGAAATTTAGTTTAGGGCATAAACATTTTTGCAAGACAAATTATACATACATGGGAAGAATAATTCTGTTACTATTGGACACTTTCTCAGAAGAGCTAAACAAAAAAGTCACTTTCTGTTACAACTGGTGTGTAATCAAAATCCTAAAAACAAACCACAAGCTTAAATAACTTTTCAGGCTTTTAATGTGAGTACTCATATTTGTATTAAGTAATGTATTTGGACTATCACCACATTTTTTTAGTTTTTTTAATGCACAAGCTTTCGGCTCAATTACCAAAGCCTTCTATAGGTGCGAGACGTTTAGGATCCTGTTGTGTACTAAACGTCTTGCACCTGTAGAAGGCTTAGGTAATTGAGCTGAAAGTTTGTGCATTAAAAAAACGTGGTGATGGGTGAAATAAATTACTTAATACAAACCACAAGCTTGTACATTTCATCAATATGTGTCACAAAATTAATACAGCTATATACAACAGTCTTATGAAAAATGATTTCTTAATCTCAAAATGTTTTGATAAAGTTGCTATTGTTTTCTAAAACCCTTTAGAATCGGATAAATATTTTCAAAGGCTTCATAAATTTCAGAACGTACTTTGGCCCCTGAAAACAAAACAAAAAAAACTTATATTTTAAATAATTGTATACAATTACAGTGCAAAATTAATGCTTTAAATATATATATATGCAAGTTCTCATATGTACATGTTGAAAAAATATAAAATTATAACACAAATTTTTATCATCCTATTGATTAGTATTATCAAAGATAGAGCTCCATTTAAACGTACTTTTAAATTACTATGTTAACAGTATATTTAATACAAAATACTTAATGCTGAATCACAGATCTAACATAAGATTAACAGATTTAACTTTGTTCATTACATCTGAAGTAATGTTGGTAACATAATTCATTTTTAACAGAATGGTACTTTCATTTAAACTGTTTTCCTCAATAGATTTGGTACAACCTGAAAATAAAGAGAGGTTCAAACAGAAAAAGTATTGCACACTTACACTGAATTATCTTGATTTTGACCGAATTCTTAGTAAGAAAGAGACTGAACACATGAAAAACATAATGAAAACAATCTTTATTTGACATGTGCACAAGACAAACAAATTGCTTTTACTGGATCATTAACATGTTCGTGGCCATGTGCTCCACTGTTAAATCACAACCAGCTTTTAATTATGGACCATGTGACATACCAGTGGATCACAGGCATTTATGTTTCAAAGCCAAATTTCTCTTGTGGCATATGAGTTTGGGACACTGTGACTGCTCCTTGACACCTCTTGAATGTTTATTTTTTTTTAAATTTATTATGCAGCAGTGAACGTGTTAACTGTCTCACTACACTCTAAAGAACTGGAAAAAGAGACTTGTGAAAAACTAGTTAACTGTTTATTAAACCTAGGAGAGAATTTTTCTATTTAACAAAAATCTTAATCTTTAATTACCAGATTTAGGATTTATATTTGAGAGATATAGCTAAAGGACTGAGAGAGCATAGTATTTTATACAAAATTCTATAATACCATCCCTCTCAATAAGCTTGCACTATTTACATCACTGTTGATTTCTAACAAAATATAAGGGATGATATTTCCTGAAGGTATCACCTGATATGTTAATTGAAAAGACTGCTGCCCACCTTTAAGTAATTTGTTCTACTTCACAGCAACTTTTCCCAAAAGAAAGTTCATGTGATACCATAGGGAAATAAATCAGAACAACAGGTAACTAGGATGAAAGGAACTTAATCATCTTGACCAATATTTTATTTCTAATCCTACATAAATTGTTTGGTGAACTTTAATAAGTGCTTACTTAACTAAATAAAGCAGATGAAAACACCTAGTATGCCTGCATACTACAATGGTACATTAAAGTGTTATTATGAAAAGTTAATAAGAAATTAAAGATCGTACATTTATGAAAATCTTGTATTTTCAATGAAATGTTTCATATAGAAAATTCATACATGACTAAAGATGTGTATTTTATATGAATAACACATTTTAGTTTAATGGCTAGATTATATATGAAGGGTGCTGGTACTAATTTTAATATGCTTGTTTCTATCCCAAATCTAATACTGTTTTCTCATTATTATTTTTTGAATTCTCTAAAAGATGTGCAATGCCTTTTCTCTTACTTGTCTTACTAGCTTATATATGTTATAATGTACACTTGGCCAGTACAAAATGCACTAACAAAGTTATTTCTGTGTGGCATAAAACACTATTATACCGTGTTTTTTCATATGACCTTTTACCATCCACCATACACAGTAATCCAAGTTTGTTTTGTTGTACTTGTTTTTTCAGAAAATTATCCATTTTAACAATTTTATAAATTCTTCTAAATAAGGAATATTGTAATAATTATTTTTAAATGATTTTCTTTATCTAATACTATTTACATATATTGATAACTTAATACCAATAGTACCTAACTATTTACATTAAGGTACTTGTAAACTACTTGCTAAATTTTTATACCTATGAAATGTTAGTTTCAAGTTCAGCTACAATATATATAAGATTTTTTGCAAATACTAGAAATGTCTTCTCACTTTTTACCTCATGACATGTATATTTAAAGTTTTCAAACTACTGTCAAATGCTTGACTTCATACATACTTGCACAATTCAGAGAAACAAAAATACTAACTTACTAAACAGCATATACCAAAATGTTTCATATTTTAAATATTTTTATAAATGAGACAAGTAAGAATTTCACTTGAAAAAAGAAGTTAGTCAAATTAAACAAAGAGCATGAATTTCGTTAGCTCATTTTTCATATGGAAGATTTTTTATACTATTTTACAATAGCATACTAAAGTCAGAGTAAGATCAAGTGTATATTTTCAATTGAGATAATCCTAATAAAAATGGCAATGATCCCTCAAGGTGAAAAAAAAATGAAATTAAAAGTTAAATTACTTTCTTACTGATCTATCATCTGCAATTCTTCATATGACTATTATTATTTATTCTTTTGTGGTGTATTACATACAATGACTCAGAATTGACTAATGGGATGTTACATCTTTGCCACCTAGTGACTACAATAAGAAATAGTATAGAGGATGCATAGTTAAGATGGTAATTGTAACATACAAATAACTTAATTTATGACTCTTCAACAGTTTTTCTTAATTTTTCAATATCCAAATGAATATCTAAACTCATCAAAAATTTAATTTTACTTGTATATAATATTTTACTATTATTACATTGCCTATAAGCTACATTACTTTGCATGTACTTTGCTAATATAAATGTAAGTTATGTAAATACTTTATTTAGATATGAAAGTAGAGATGTCTACGTACCTGTAAGAACAACTTTACCCGAAACAAAGATCAATAACACAATCCTTGGTTTCACCATTCGATAAATGAGACCAGGAAATAATTCTGGTTCATAACTAAAAGTAGAAAAAATTGGGCTTTTAGTAATGCAAACCATTTGTAGGTACTCCTTAAAATTATGTATAAATGACTCACAAGAATTTTATATATATATATTGTTACGTCTCTGGTCATTTGTTAATTTCCCGTATAATTTCTTTCGGATGAAACTTTAGCGATACAAGTCCTTTCTTAAAGAAAACTAGTTTATTCTTTC